ACAACTTTCTATACACTATTGAATTTTCTCATCTCATATCATTAGCAGTATAAATGTTAACAACTTGGGACTTACTGACTTTTTTCCATGGTCGGTCGCGCGACAGCTTCGACGAATCAAACGAAACGACGCCGTTTAACTTAGTCAACAAGCGACAGCTTCAAAGGAATCAAATAAAACGACGTCGTTTAAAACTTAGTCAACCGTACTAGTTAGACATTTACTGGTTACAGTCAGAAATTCCGGTGCTTCCTGCGATCGCGCTCTAGCTCTTCCGTAAGTGGCTCCATGGAAACTCTCTAGATTTTTTTTTTATCGTTTTTTTCATCTGTTTAGTTCCGAAGCAGATAAACTTTTTGCTTGTCTCCAACGTCTTTTAGTTGTGTGTTGAGGTGTAATCGTAGTAGGTGATTAGGCGTACTAACTAGTGATTACAGTTCAACAAAATCGATGAGGTTTTTCGCCAGGAAATTAGGGTTTCCTGTCCAATTTCGGCTGGTTTCTGTGGTTGATTAGTATGAATTATTGTACGATTAGGATTCTGTCGGTAAGAGTTACTCTAATTCTCCACAAATGGAATGCACCATGAACTTGACTACAGATCTTTCTCCCTTAGAGCTAAAGATTTTACCTGTTTAGTGCTAAGTGAATAGCTATAATTCCCATGGAAATACCTCTATTTTTTTTTGTTGGTAGTGCTTAGGCTTAAGTTCGTTAATCACTAGGCCAAAGCAAAATCAAGAGTAGTAACTGAGTATCTTTTCTACTGATTGATGTTTTTCCTTTCGGGTTTCTAATCCCTAACTGGTCTTATCCCCTCATTTTTAGTTGTATGATCCTTATGTGACACATTACTATCAAACTGCCTTTTTAAAAACTTTCGCCATCTCAATGTGGAAGGCTAATTTAATTGCTCTTGGACTTTGAGCATTAGTCTCATGTGTGTACTTCACTGAACTCATGAGAGGAACTTGTTTTATATAAAAGGGAAAAAAGTCTTGTTCTGATGTTGAAGTTGATTATTTGCAGGTGGATGCAAAAATACACTCTTTAAGTTCTTGAGTTTTCTTGTCTTCCAGGCTGAACAATACTTTATCACTCTGTTTGTTTCTGCAATTAAATGGTAACTACATTAATCCAGAGCACTTTTTCATGCCAGTATATTGTTTATATCTTCAGTTATTTCGCTTGTCTATTAAGGTGCAACCTAATAGACACTCCTTTGCTGTTCTGTCTTTTGATACTTTGTGTCATCTATATTTACATATATGATTCAGGATACCGGTGGGTTTGTAGATGAAAAGAATGAGAGCAGATTATATGTTGGAAACCTGGATCTTAGGATAAACGAGTAAGCCAAAAAAGTGCTGTGAAGCAAAGCTTGTTATTACCTACATTACATTGTTCATTACCTTATATTTTCTCTCCTTGATAGGGCTGCATTGCTCAAAATGTTTTCTCCATATGGGAAGATCATATCAGAAGACTTCCTTTGGCACACACGCGGACCAAAGAAAGGAGAACCACGTGGGTATGCTTTCGTTCAGTACAGCCGTAAAGAGGTAACTAATAATCTGGCTTTCTTGGTTCTGAATTTTCCCATACGAGATTGTTTTAGTGCGCGCAATCTCCTGATATCTACATTTAAAGTGAGTACACAGGAAGCTGAAGTAGCAGTAGAGAAGATGCATGGGAGATTAGCTTGTGGTAGGCCTTTGGTGGTTCGTTTTGCTAGTGAGAAGCATCTAGAAGAGTCTTCTTATGATCACTCCAAAAGATTATTACTACCGGAAGCAAACAGAACCAGGTTTGTAACTGGAAGCAGCTCAGGACAAATGAGCCGTGATGAAAAAGTAGCTGCCATTAAAAACAAACTCAAAGCTTTGGAGGAAGATGAGAAACGAGATCCCAAGAAACAGAAGAGATAAGGATCGGTTTGAAAAATAGAACTTTGAGTCTCTGTGAAAGAGAGAGAGTTTCAACGTTTCGTTTGTTTTTGGCACTTGAAGTGAAAATTTTCGATGTTAAACCGAAATGAATCAGAATTCCATGTTGTTTCAGTTTCGATTTGGGTAACCGGTTTGTCTAAAACCAAATATGATTTTAGGTTCGGTTCGGGCCACTATGAATGATATCATCAGAGAGAAAAGTTGACGCACTATGGGAGTCAAACAAGTCGACTCTCCTTTAGTAACGAT